GCCGCCGCCGAGTGGGTCCGCAAAGGCAGCTTCATCCACAAGCCGGCGCAGGGCTGGCTGCACCCCGATGCCAGGGTCCTGGGGCCCGGGGTCTCCTACATCGTGCGGGTGAGTGCGCCGGCCGGGACACTGGGGATGCATCCTCCCAGGACCCCCAGTCTGGGAGCCGGGGCTCCACGCCCACTGCTTTCTCTGGGGCGGAGACTCCGGCCCTCGACAGCCAGGCGTCTCTTCATCCTTCCTCCTCTCCCCGCCACCCGGGACCGCCATCTCCAGCCGGCGCTCGGCTGACCACCCCCACCCGGGAGGTGCTGGGGTACGGGTTCCCACGGCGTCACGTGGGGGGGCGGGGAGAGGAGCCCGGTGGGAGGGGGCGCGCATGCGCAGCTTGAGCGGGCTCGGGCTGGGGAGAGGGGCCGGGGCCACCTGCTGCCCAGACCCCCCCTCACACACAGTGGAATCCCCATCGTGGACCTGCAGAGGCCTCAACCTGGGCTGGGGGGCGCCTGGAGGCATATCTAGGTAGGAGCCAGCGCCCCACAGGATCCCCGGATTCCAGAGCCCAGGAACTTCTAATGTGGGATGAAGACACGGGTCTTTATTATTTACCCCTGGTTTTTATTACGGACCTTTCACGCACACTTGGAAGTTGGGGAACGGTTGCCTGTGTGCCTGCCCCTGCGGACACTTAATGTTCTCTGCGCACTATCTCCATCCCTATGTGTAATTTTTGGTAAACCATAAACAGTAGCTGCCCCTGTGGGCGCGCTCCAGGTTAAACCCTTCCACACGAGTCTGGGTTGGGGGGCGGGGAACCCTCCTACTGTTCCAGCTGAAAAAACTGTCAGGGACACCAGACATCATGTCCACACCACAGTCCTCTGGGCCCCGGAGGTGCTGTGCTTGCTGTTGCTTGATGGGTGACTTCCCCCCCCACCCAGGATGCACCTGAAAACCCATGTCTGTTGCTGCAAACTGAATGCGGCTTACTGGGAAGTGGGCCAGAAGGTGGTGTCGAGCGGCATGGGCCCTGGACAGTGACAGGTGTCCTAAGAAGAGGGCGGTGGGGCCCAGGCGGAGGAAGACCGCCAGGGATGATGGAGGCACAGGGCGGGAGCGAGCGGCGTCAGGCCCCAGCTGTCCACCTGCAGAGACTGGGAGCGGCGCAAGGACCCTCCCCGGAGTCTTCAGAGTGCAGTGTTCAGACTCTCACCCTCCGGACGGTGAAGTGGCACTTTGCTGCTTGTGGTACTTTGTCACGGTGGCCCCAGGACAGTTAGGTGTCCCCAGGGGTGTTGACTTTCTGAAAGTCCCAGACAGCCGCTGCTCCCGCCAGCTTCAGGCAGGAGGCGCTGCAGTGGTGAGAGCCGGCTGACAGGCCTCCAGCCTGGGCCTACCTGCGCGGCCCACCGGCACCTGTCTCTTCTTGAGGTCTTTCATCTTGAGCCTCCGTCCTTCCCCAGTCCTGGCAGTCTGGTCTGCAGGCTTAATTGGATACAGGATTGACTTTGCAGTGGGTGAAGCTGTGCAGCTCGCATCACATCCCTGCAGGACAAGCCATGCCTGCCCACCAGCGGGGGAGGGGTTTAGAAAGTCTGGAACTCAGATACTTGAGCCACAAGGTGTGGGGTGTTGGATTGTTGCAATAATCAGGACGTTTTCTTTCTTTCTTTTTTAAAAATTTTTTTTGAAGATGTTTTTTATTCGTGCATACAGAACTAGGGTACAGGCCAGAGGTGCAGGGTCAGTGAGAGGATTCACCAGTCAGAGTGGGGAGCAGAACAGGCAGATAGATGAAGTACGCTGCTGAGGGGAGCAGTGGGGAGACAGGAGAGGTCTGCTGCACCTTGTGGACCACCTTTGGGACCTTTGGGGTTGGGGATTGAACTTGCACTGAAGTGGCCTCGGCTCGGCTTAGCTTCACAGTGCAGCGCTCAACCTGCTGTTTTCTTTTCTTTTTTTAAAGATTTATTTATTTATTTGTGCATACAGGCCAGAGGTGTGGGGGTGTGAGAGGATCCACCAGAGACAGGATGGGGAGCAGAACCCGCAGATTGAGAAGTACGCTGCTGAGGGCAGCAGGGAGACAGGGGAGGTCTGCTGCGCCCTGTGGATCCGCTCCAGGGCCGGGGATTGAACTTGCACCGAAGTGGCTGCAGCTGGCTTCGTAGTGCTGCGCTTTTACCTGCTGTGCCACCAGGGAGGCCCAGTCACGGTGTTTTCATCAGAACATTTTTCATCAACGCAGCATCCCTGCCCCTGCCGGGAGATGACTCTGCTGTAGGAAATGAGAAAGATCTGATCACTGCGCTCGGAGGCTTGAGCTTCTAGAGGCAGAGAGCAGTGGTAAACGAGGAAGGAAGCGAACCGGGACCTGGCGGATGCTCGTGGGTCTGCAAAAGTCAGAATCGAGTGAGGTC